ACTGAGGATTACGAGAAAGAGAAAGAAAAAGAGATGGAAGAAGATGAAGTGCAAGGTATACGCTGACTCACAAATCATGTCATGCTAACATTGCATTCACTCTTTGCCGAAGCCCTTCCTAAAGGACACATTTTCCGGCTGACTTTGTAGTTCCAAATGAGGAGTTTTCCTCCTGTGCATCCATCTGTACACCATTGGATTGCATCGTAAACATGAATGAAAGAGCGAATGAGATTTTACGTGACTGGGAACAAATTGACGTATCTGTTCTCTCCTCTCACACATCCATACATATACAACTAGTGCCCACAAACAGGTGTGTCACTGCACTGTCCATTAAGCCCACTGCACATTGTACGATCTGCTGCGATACAATGTTGGAAGAATTTGCAATAGGACTCAAACATGTAAAATCTTAATGATCGAGGATTTGAATAGACATGGTTATTAAAATCTAAATTTCAAGGGATTTCAAGCTTCCTTAGAGAAGGAAAAGCTTAATCAGCTCAGAATTGTATTGATGTCAGACAAGTAGTATGATTGTCTATGATTTGAAGCCAATTTGGCTTGTATTATTAAGAAGCATCACTTCCCGTTGCTAGAATTTGTATCAATATTTATAACCTAACTCAGGTAGATGACCTTTGTTAAGATTTCCATATCTAATGCAATTGTCATTTCTTCAATAATCAGATCGCAAGTAGGTTCATGTAGATGCCAAGAGGAAAGGGGTAGGTACAAGGGAGAAAGAGAGATACTATAGTTGAGTCTCTTTTTGTTGTAAGGTTGAGTGTTTTTTTAAAAATAAATAATTAACTGTTTAAAAACATGATAAAAGAGAAAATACTTTTTCCTTTTCAAAGAGTCTAATGTCAAGGGAAACTTGCAATTTACCTTGCACTCTGCCTATCAATTTGCTCAGGTATTTGCTCAAGTATGAAAAGGTAACAATGCAGAACTCACAAAGTAGAGGCAATTGTTCAGATAAATATTAAAAAAAAGAGGTCCTAAAAATGATCCTTGTGGCACACCAAATGATTGATTTTCTCATTTTAGGTCTGTAAAATGGGCTGTGCCCAATGGCCCATTTATAGGATCTTGAATATTAATTTGTACAATGACATAATAATAGTAATAATAAAAATAATAATAATAATAATAATAGCCTAATAGTCCACTCCAAATATGGATGTCATTCTTCTCTCACTCTTAATTTAAAACACTTTGAGATTACATATAATTTTTAATAGCTAGAAGGGCAAAATGAATTAATTCCAAGAAAACTTAAAAGAGTGTTCAATAATTACAAAGAAGATTAATTACTCCATTTTAAAATGTTGATGGATGGATGGCTGTATTTGAAATGATTTTCTTCTTCTAAACAACCTATGTGTATGAACCATTCTGTTTATCAGATTATACTTATATTGCAAATTTATTATATTACAATTATTGGTATATAATGTGATCAAATGAATTTTCTCTTTATTGGATATATCTTTATTATAAACTTATTGACTGGAGAAAATGATTGACAGGTGGAAAATTCTGGGTTAAATTGAAGCCCACAAAATCAGAAGACACTCATTGTGCGTCATATGAAATCAAGTGATGAACATCGTAACAGTTTGGTGTAGGTCTAGCCAAGCAGAAGTAGAATTATAGTTAGGTTTGTAAGCACCACAGTCTGCTAACTTAAGTTTAGCTTGTGGTTTTAAATTTCAAGGTTTCCTTGTAGCTATACCATGCTGACCCACTCGTGGTTACTAAACTTTCAGTTAGCTCACAATTACAATTCATGCATTAGCTTAAGTTTTAGCACGATAACTAAAGGTATGAACAGTGTGGGTTCTCACTCGAACCTATGTGCCGTGCGGATGCAATCAACACTGAGGCTACACCAGCTTTTTATTTTTGGTTATTGGTTATTATTTTACCTGACTGCTAAGAAAGCATGAATGCTTGTAAGTAAGCAACCAGACGGCCGACGGCTTTAGGTCCTCTCCGAGGGACCTGGTAATGAGGATTAATGCCTTACCAAAGGGCACTAGCGCATTGACTTGGCTCTACCAACTGAGCTATCACGCCTCTTCCTTTGTGATTAAAATTAATGCTTTCCCTGGCTTATAGTTAACTTTTCATATTTGTAGTTTGGGTCCTGTGGGATTGTTGTTTATTACTTTGAAGTTTCGCAAACCTAAAGTGAGAAACTATGACTGATCTGTGTGAACATATTAGGTTATATGTTACAGGTCATTATGGCGTAGAAGGGCAGTGTTTGCGGTGTGTCTAGATGCCAAATGATCTGATTAACTCAACAAATATGGGGCTGACCCACTAGGATAATCTCAGTGCTTGCTCTCCTGGAAAATATCATTTCAGTTAAAAGAGTATCAAGAGGGGGAGGGAGATAGGGAGGGAGGGAGGGAGGGAGGGAGGGGAAAGGAAAAGAGAAAGAGAAAGAGAGAGAGAGAGAGAGAGAGGGGGGAGCATTTGTATGTAAACAAAACGAAGAAAAAAAATGAAATAAAGGACAAAAAGAGAATTATGTACAAACAAAAAAACGATATAAACTTGTGTATGTTTCTGAGAGAGAGAAAGAGAGAACAGGAGAGAGACAGAGAGGTAAAAAGAGGAAGCTGCACCACTAATCAGTCGTTAAAGTGGCTGATCAACCATACTTTGTATTCATGAGTGAAGAAACAAAAATGGAAAAAGAAAGAGATAGAAAGAAGGCTACACCCAATTTTACCCATTACTTTCTACCTTTTCTGCTTTTGAAATTGGTTCTCGTTGTATAGGATTATTATGCTGAGTTTCAGGAAAGAAGGAATCACATTTTTAATTGTCTGCAATTAGCAATTACGATTGGGGCTTTTCTTGAGTGGTATATCTTACATGAGTAACGTATTGAATTAAAGTGGGCAAATTGGGGCTTAGTAGAGATGAAATACATCTGCCTTTTCAAGAAAAACCCTGCATAATTTGTAGCATGCTGCAAAAATCTGCTGTCCTAGATTTATTGACCAACCTTACGTCTGGAATGCGTGTGGCTTCTGCAGTGCCAGTAGACTGTGGAGCCATGCAAGAAAACACTTAAGGATGTTATCACGTCATTATTATTAATGATGGACTGCCGATGATTTGGGCATTTTTAAGCTGTACTATACATGTAGCTGATTTGTTCATGTACCGGTAGATGTATTTTGTGGCTGACCATTAATCATTGTTATAGGCAGTTTGTGGGTGGTTGTTTTTGCAAAATTATTTAGCACAGGCTACATGCAATATCAAATTGCATATGTGGGCATTGCCTGCTCATGTGGTAAACTTGCTATAAAATAATGATTTGCAAAAATTAGATCCTTTTGAAAATAATTGCTTAAATCATAACTAAATGTGTCCTTATTCCTTTCGGCATTTTTAAATTATTTTTTTTTTTTTTTTATTGTACTTGATGTTTTGACTATCTTCCATAGATATGAACTTGTTATACACATATATTTAAAAAGAAATATTTACCATTTCTGAATTTTTGATCTTGCCCAACATGCAATTTTGGTGCAACTAAAATGAAATGTGTCATCAGTTCTTCTGTATGTCTGTTTTTTGTTGGTCTTTTTTTTTAAAGAACTATCTTCCTTAGATATGAACCTGTCATATAATTTTTTTTTTTATGGAAAAGGAATTTTACTCATGTATATGCACATTAAATTGTTGAAAATTTTGAGAGAAGTAAAAAGAGAGAGGCAGAGAGAGAAGGGAAATAATGCTATGTTGGAAGACGTTCATTCCACAAGGACTCCTTTTCTATTTGTAAGCACAATTTCAGTCTTAATGATTGAAAAGGGCAAAGGGTTGTACCCACCAATCTGAACTACAAAATGATGCCAGATCCTTCCAATCAATTCAGGATTGCATCCCCCATAAAACCATTTATTCAAAAGAGAGAGAAAGAGAGAGAGAGAGAGAGAGAGGGAGGGAGAGAGAGAGAGAGAGAGAGAGAGAGAGAGAGAGAGAGAGACAGAGAAAGAGAGAGAGAAAGGAGATGGTACAGGAAGAGAATAGTAGAACAAAAGAAGGGAAGAGAAGGTAAAAGTGGAGAAGAGAAGAAAGACTGAAGAGTTAAGAGAGTAAAATAGAGAAGAAAGTACAAGAAGAAGAGAGAAGAGAAAACAAGGGGAATGGAAAAGAAATAGAAAGAGAACAGAGAGAAAGAGTGAGAAAGGGGGAGAGAAGATTTAGAAAGATGGGTAAATAGAGGGAGAACGAGAGAAGGATAGAGAGAGGATTGTAGACATGCAATTCTCCATGTTGATTGGGCAGACGGAAATCTATTTGCTTCTAACTACCCAATTCAATTGATTTATGTCATGTTATTTGCCTGCTGTCTCTACTTTGTCTGTCTGCCAATAAAAAAGTGAAAGAGAGAGAGACAGACACAGACAGAGAGAAGGGGAGGTAGAGATAGAGAGAGAGAGAGAGAGAGAGAGAGAGAGAGATGGGGGAAAAGACAAAATGTAGACAAGAGAAAGGACATTAGATAAAGAAGGAAAATATGGAAATGAGGGAAGAGATTGTCTTTATCTCAGGTGTTAGCCAATCTGTTCATCTTGATTGGTGTTAACCTAGCCTGTTATTTCTTTTGTCTTTATCTCAGGTGTTAGCCAATCTGTTCATCTTGATTGGTGTTAACCTAGCCTGTTATTTCTTTTGTCTTTATCTCAGGTGTTAGCTAATCTGTTTATCTTTCTTGGTGGTAAACTAGCCTGTTGTTTATTTTGTCTTTATCTCAGGTGTTAGCCAATCTGTTCATCTTCATTGGTGTAAACCTAGCTTGTTATTTATTTTGTCTTTATCTCAGGTGTTAGCCAATCTGTTCATCTTTCTTGGTGGTAACCTAGCTTGTTATTTCTTTTGTCTTTATCTCAGGTGTTAGCCAATCTGTTCATCTTTCTTGGTGGTAACCTAGCTTGTTATTTCTGTTGTCTTTATCTCAGGTGTTAGCCAATCTGTTCATCTTCCTTGGTGCTAACTTAGCCGGTATCTTCACCCACTACCCCACTGAGGTAGCCCAAAGACAAGCCTTTCTCGAGACCAGACGATGCATCGAGGCTCGGCTCATCACTCAGCGGGAAAACCAACAACAGGTTAGTCATGGTTTGATCTTACTTTACTATCAAAAACTAAATTTAATTAAAGAACATTTTCAAATTTACACATTGACAGTAAAATTTTAACAAACTTTGCATTATCTGTCTTGTATTGAGATGCCTTTGTTTTTCCCGACTCATTTTCCAGACATACCGGTACATATGAAGAGTAGATAAAAACCTACTGCACTAGTTTAAAGCACTTTATACATTTTTGTGTGTTTGTTTGTTTTACCTGACTGCTAAGAAGGCATGTTTTATCTTGGAAGCAACCAGGCAACCAATGGCTTTACATCCCTTTCAAGGGACTGGGTAATGAAGTTTAATGCCTTATCAAAGGGCACCAACGCATCAATTTGGTTTCAAACCTTAACCTCTCGGTTACAACGCTACTGCTCTACCACTGAACCATCGAGCCATGTACTGTTGTTATTATTATTGAAAGACATGCAAACTCGTTCATGTTACAAATGTTGTATCTGCAAGAAACATTAGGACTGTCAAGAAATCAATTCAAGCAATATCAGCTCCCTATGATATTTCCCATAGCAAAATATGAAATACACACATGAGCATGTCCTAATATTTGCACATTTCAAAACTTGATACACAGGTACATTGAAATTGCTTATGCACAGTTCACACCGACGCCGAATGTCGCGTTTTAAATCGGCAATCAATTCGGCGTCATTTTTGTTTACTTTTCAAAAAATCTCACGATCTCCTCAGATATGTTATGCTCTGATATCTTATCAAAGCGTGTCAATTGGTGACAGAGAGTACAAAGTGGGGTCACCGCTTTGAACCAAGCTCTGTTAAACTCTGTTAAGCTTTCCCACGCTTTGAGCAAAACTTTGATAAGCTTTGTGACGCTTTGATAGCTTTAATACGCTCTCCCCGCTTTACGCAATTTGTGACAGATCGCCTCAAATTTTTAAACAGTTTAAAAATATATGGCACTCTTGCCGAATGTCCCGAATTGCTCAAAGCTTTCTCACGCTCTATTATGGTCTTTACGCTTTAATTAAGCTTTGTTACGCTGATTTAATTCGCCATCAATTCGGCGTCGGTGTGAACTTAGCATGAAGGTTGAGTTTTGAAAGTCTCTGCAATCATAAAACCAAAGTGAGGGTTTTTTTTTTACGAGAGAGAACTTGACCTCTTTTGTAATGTACATATTTATCCCAAGTTGCTAGTGAATGGGTGTTGTGATGATGTCAGTGAAATTTTGCTTATATAAAACAATTTAATATGCAGTATTTTAATACCATCTTACCAGGTGAAACGGATAGTTGGATTAAATATTATTCTGCAAATCTATACCTCTGTGATGAAGTAGAGTTTTCAGTCTTTGGTGAAGGGTAGAGAAAATTATAGTTTGGGAATCCATCAGAGCTGAGGATTAAATTGTGGAGGCATTTTAAAATGAATACCCCTGCATTTTCTACTTCATGCGATCAATTTTCTATTCAGCTCTACATATCAGGCAAGCCTTTAAGTAGCTTATTGTCCTGTGAATTTCATATAATGACATTTAAATATCGCTCTTTCAAAGAGTAAAGTTGAGTAGGCCCTCCTACTCTTCATGCGTTTACATACATATTTTGAAAGAATTATCTTGAGGCAGGCAAGTTTAAATGGTATATTACGCGATACATATCCATGTAACAATGGATGTATACTAGTAGAATGATCAAAATGAAAACAAAATGACTCTCTCTTGCTGAAAATTATATGGACTACTCATGGAAGTGGATATATCGGACTACACATACATGTGGCATTAGAGTTTGGTCCACTCTTTGCAGCTTTTCTTGTCATATTTCAAATAACATGGCAATACAAGGCAATCCTTGTCGAGGGACATTCTATAATGGTGTTCTTCCAACTGACCTAAAAGAATGAAGGAATGAAAAGGCTTACAAATGATCTGTTATCTAAGAACTCAACCTCCATTTTACAGAGTTCACATTTGTATAGCTGCTCATAATATACCTGTTGCTCCGCAGTTATCAACGATCAGACTGTCTCCATCACCTGTAAAGTACATTATCTTGCTAGCTCAACTGCCAAGCCAGTGGCAACATTTGCATAGTCGCGTAGGCATTAGAATGGGTAGAGAGATCTCAATTTAGTCGGCAGATGCCCTTCTTTTATCCTCAGAGTGGAAAAGCAGATGAAAGTGATGGTTTTCTATGGAAGAGCTAAGAGGCTGGCTGCAGTAGGTTATAAGTCCTCACCACTTTACACTTTTGCCCTCCTTGTAAATGCTTGAACTAGCTACTGTCACTCAAAGAGAAAGCCAGTTCAGACAAGAAAGCTAGATCTACAGGACTGTTCACATTACTGTCTCCGAGGAAAAATGATGTCGGGTGTTCACTTCAGTGAATTTCCTATAAATAGTTGCAAAATCGTCATTCACAAATATAGTTTCTAAAGAAATAGAAATTATCTATATTGTCAAATTCTGGAAAATATAGTTGTCAAATAACCTATCATTTTTTAAAAAGAAATAATTGCAATTCTCACTCCATCACTCATCACTCTTCTAGAGTAGTTGTCTTGAGTAATTAGTATCATGTCATTTTCAAAATGTGTTTGAAAATTATTGAAATACTCTTTTGATCAAATCTCCAAGAAAAGTAAAACCTACAAAATATTCCTGAAACCAAGTTTGTTTGATGAGTGATATAAATAGTATTGGAGTATTCCCATGGTAATTAATGTTTCACGTTGGTAATGAGATCGGGGTCTTTGATTGGAAGTTGAAATTTTGCCATGATGCTATTTCATTAAAGTAAGGCGAAGCGTCAAAAATAAATATACCAGCCAGCGGCAGCTAACTGCATTTGTGCGTCCTGGCTGCATTTTTAAAATTAGCTCAGCCGGCTACCGCTGGCGGTAGGAAATGGCGTTCAAAAGTATGCGCCGGCTGCCGCCTTTCGAATGGGAACCGAGCCTCAGATCCCAGCCTGGCGCAAGCCGGCTGGGCTAATAAAAGAAAAATAATTGCCCCAGCCAGGCTTCGGCCGTAATTGCAGCCTCGATGCGCCAATACGTGAGGCGGCAGCCTGCTGGTATCGATATTTTTGACGCCTCGCCTAACTATTTAATATTGAAAAATGGACGTCAACACTTTAAATATGAATTGATTTTGAAATAGCATGCATTTTCCTTCCCAAGTTATCTCCAGCATAGTATTCAATCCAATGACCGGGTAATAGTATATCTGTAAAGCGCTTAGAGACATCATAGATGTATTAAGCGTAGAGAGTACGAAGTCAACCTCAACAAAATTTACCTGGCATTATATTGGTTAAGGATTAACGGGTATGCAGAAAATAAAGGAAATCATAATACCCTTTGTATAGGGTGCATATACGCATGTGTTAGTATACCCAACAAGACATTTTTGTTACAGATTTTTATTTATTCATTTATTTATTTCTAATCTTTTGTCAGAGTAGCCCTGACACCAGGAAATAGTGGTCTTCCATGGTCCTGAATATTTACATCAAAAAGCATAATGTTTATATACAGAACTGTTAAAATATAATTCCATAGTACATTTAGAAAGATATAACACAGCAATAATAGACATGGCTCAAATGAATACTCCTTTGCAAAATAATCATATATCAGTAACCTAGTTTAACTGTAATGCCAATAGGAAAACATTGATTAAGTCGCAATTATGTGAATAAATCATGTTAAAATTTTAGATTATTCACGTAGGTACGGCTGAGCCATTTACAAATTACAAATCACAAATCACTGCAACTGTGTTTAAATTGCGATATCTCGTCGTAGAAGAAATTTTTGAAGCTCACACTTTGACTACAGTATACTGTAGTTACATGGAAACCCTGACATCAAGATCAAAACATGTTTTGGTGATTGTCACACTTGAACCCATTCTTTGATTTAAACATCCCTCATGTATTTGGGTCATAGAAGTCATCTTTGACATACATGTGCAGTACATTTACATACTAACAATACAGAAGATACACATGGCTCATACAGAAAAATGAGGGCAGCATACATCACATGACTTATAGGTCAGATAATGATAACACCTTGAAGAATGCACATTAACAAGAATCATTCGATCGATAACACGTCTACACCCTGGCCCTAGCTGAGAGAGTACTTTATCACATTTGATTAGCCAGCCAGTACATTCGTCCAGCACAGGAACACACTCGTGGGACTACCGGGGTTAAAATCTGTGAATTCCTGTGCAGCCCTTGACCCCCGGAGCTGTCTGTCACTCTAATGGTCCTATAATGGGACGTCCCAGGGGGGTTTGAGGTGGACGAAGAGGAGTAGCTTTCGCTTTTATTTTTTCCTCTCTCTCTCTCTCTCTCTCACTCTCTCTCTTTCTCTCTTTTGCTTTACGATAGCACCCTTTCTCTTTTTATTATGCTGGAGTGGGTGTGTAGCACTAGCGCTTGTTGAGGATGAATGATTAGATTTATTTAGAGGGAGCAATCCCCTGCGCATTTGATAAAATGCGCACTGGTTACGATGTCCGCGGGCTAAAGCACATAACCAGAGCCAGCCCTCTTTGTGTATTTCTTTATCAGTGGGTCATATATGCTGAAAATCTTTCAAAACAAAACAGCTTGACTTGGTAGTACCCCTTTAAATGATTTTATTCTATTTTATTTCATTTGTTTGGGTTGACTATTCATTAATTGTTGTTATTTTTTTACAGCTAGTACTGTTAAGCAAGTATATCACCAATGGATGTTTGGGTATAATATTAATAATAACAATATGGATATTCATATAGCGCCGATATCTGCCAGGCTCTGACGCTCATGGCGCTCGTACATATTACAATCACAAACATATCACATTCTTAACTAAAGTAAAGGTAAACTAAAACAACATAATAATAATAATGATAATAATAATAATAATAATAATAATAATAATAGTACATTTATAGAGCGCAGAAACTATCCGACATTAGGTATATATTCTACTGC